TAGAAATGGCACTGCTCTAACAGAATGCCGAAGGTCATAGGCAGTCATTGTGACAGCTTAATATAAATGTTTTACTTTTCAACAGATACTGAACAGTTTTTGAGTTACTCTCTGTTGTCCCCTTGTGCTTGTTTCCTTTCCCTTTGGCTCCCTTCCCTTTGTTGCCTTTGTTCCCTTTGTCGTCTCTTAGCTCCCCATGTGTGTTTTCCATGATGTTTACTGGATTTTCTGGTTTTCACTATTTTGTTTTTGGACTCTTGCTTCCTCATCTTTGAATTTGGATCCTCTAAAAACATTAACACAATCCTGACAGAAGAAACCAGCCAACATGGATCCAGCAGAGCCACAAACCGAGAAGGTAAGTGAATTTCAAAGGCACTTAACACACACTCACACTCGATAACCTAACCCCAATCAGTCCACCTTGGAAGTGGATAATTGCTGCCAAAGAAGTAAATCAAATTCTACAGATATATCAAGAAATCCAAACCTACTTTCTTCATGCAGTTTTCAATGCTTTAGCTGAGTGGAACATACAGGAGGCCTTCTCTGAGCTCCAAAACAAATCTCCACCACCCAAACCATTACTCATCTGGTTACTTACTCCTCCAGCTGCTGATCCCCAGCTGCCTTCTTTGCAGGCACAAGCACTGGTGCAGGCAAAAGCACCGGTGGAAAAATGCTACAGCCTCTCCAGCTGATCAGTTCAACGCCACCACTTATTCTCCAGCGGGTAAGTCTGATGCCACCATTTATTTTCCAGCTGGTTAGTCTGATGCCACCACTTATTCTCCAGCGTGTCAGTGTGACGCCGCTGCTCCCACTATAGGTCAGCCTGCTGCTAGCTTTACGCCAGGTCAATTTCCTCTGTGGTCTCAGCCGCCACCTTCATGACTCCCAGCTATCCCCATCTCTAAAGACTATCAAACATTATATTAGCCCCTGACAGTCTTATTAGATCAGATCCCCCATGACTTAAGACATCCGAACTTTTGAGTTTTTTTTACAGGGAGAATGAGGATCTTCTCCCTTTATTTCCACCTCCCTGCCAGCCAGCCTTTCCCGAGCCAGAGCCCCTTAGCGGGCCAGTTCTCAAGCCAGAGCCAGTTAGCAGACCTAGTTCCAGACTCAGATGGAGAGTGCTGGCCTAGTGGGTTAGAGCGGTGCTCTTGTGCTCTGAGAAGGTTGCAAGTATGCAGTTTGATCCCCACAGCCTCCATGCTGGGTCTGTGAGCAACACCCTTAACCCCACAGAGTGTCAGCCCACTGCTCCCCAAGGGGATGGGTTAAATGCAGAGATTTAATTTCTGCATTGTGAGATAAATAAAGTTACATTTATTTTCTTTCTTTCTGATCCCCTTAGTGGACCATTCCCTGAGCCAGAGCCCTTTAGTGGGCCAGTCCCAGGGACAGAGCCCTTTAGTTGGCCAGTCCCCGAGCCAGAGCCCTTTAGCGGGCCAGTCCTTCCTTCTTCTAAGTCTGCCCTTCTCAGTGTGCTAGAACTCAGTCAGCCCCACCCAGTGTCCTAGCCCTCAGTCAGACTCTCTTAGTTCTCCCTCCAGAGTCAGAACGTGTTTGTGTTCCCCCTCCAGAGTCAGAACTTGTTTGTGTTCCCCCTCCCGAGTCAGAACCTGTTGGTGTTCTCACTTCTTTTAGCATTTCTCCTCAGGCAGATCCTCTTAGCGTTTTGTTTAGGTCAGATCCTCTTTTTGAGCACGCTCTGTGCTGTCCAGAGATCCCTGAGCACGCTCTATGGAGTCAAGAGACCCCTGAACCCCTTGATGGATTGTGCTGTGAAACAGAGCTCTGTGAGAGCTCCGAGGCTGTGAAAGCTCCAAGGCCCCTCAGAGGGCACTCCTGGCCTACAAGGCCCCTCAACGTCCCTTTCCTCCATGTGGGTTCCAAGCTGTGCTGCCTCCTCATGGGTCCTGGCCCTATGTTTTAGTTTATTTTTAGGATCTTTGTAATTCTGTGTCTTTGCAGTTGTTTTCTAGCAGTGTTGAGTTCTTTAGTTACTCTCCGTTGCCCCCTTTTGCTTTTTTCCTTTCCCTTTGGCTCCCTTCTAGTTAGTTCTATTCACACCTGCTCCATATTCAGCTCATTAGCCCATCCTTTGTTCTTTCCCCCTTATGTACACCACCTCTTCAGTCCGTCATTGCTGGTTTCTTGTTGTTTTGTTGCTTTGTCATCTCTTAGCCCCTCATGTGTGCTCTCCCTGATGTTTACTGGATTTTTTGTTTTTTACTATTTTTAGTTTTTGGCAGTTGCTTCAGTTGTCTGTGGAATTGTCTGTCAAGAACTGTCTGTGTCAATTCTTTTTAAATCAACAAAACTTAGGAAACCTCTAAAAACTTATTCATCTTGCAGTTTTTTTAACCTTTGTAATTTTTTATTATTATTTGTTGATTTATTTTTCATTTCAAATTCATCTATTAAGCAGGGTTCCTTGTAAATCTCCTTAAGCATACATCCATTTCTGACAGACTTAATCCCAAGTGGGGTTGCAAGGGGTGCATCATAATCACATGTTAAAATATTTTCGTCTACTACCTGGTATCAAATTATTAATACTTGTGTAAATGTGTGAACCTAATTGCTGCTCTGATGTGGAGCAGCCACTTGACTTTATAACTAATTACCTTTAATCAGGTCAGAGCGTGACTGTTCAATTTGCAGGGAACAGCGTGTTCACAGTTAAGCAGTTAAGACTTATTTCTTTGTGCCATACAGATCACCTTTGTTCATAAACAAAAAAAAACCTCTGTAGATGCCATTTAAAAAAAATCCCCAAACCATCATGCGATTAGAGATAACCTGCACACTGCAACTTGCAAAGGTATATATTTACATTTGTTAAAAATAACAGCAGTTCGTCATGCAGATGTCCAGAAAATGGATAATTTTATTTAACAATTTATCAATAACCTGCTGTTAACGAAAACATTATAACAACCCCCTTAAAAGCAAATTACCGTATACCTAACAAAGGGTTAAAAAAAAAAGGTGAATAGGTAATGTCAGGAGAAAACAAATAGGACAAAACCAGCTAAATAAAGAACAAAAATTGTAAACCAAATGTGCCTGAAGATAGTGTTTCCTTCTCTTTTGTGTCAATTTGTCGAACATTTTGTGATTCAGCTAATCTTTTTAGTAGACATAATGCTAATAAGTCATGTATTTAATTATAAAAAAAATCCCATGTATGTCTTTCTTTATTTTCGCTGTTAAGCTTCAACATGGTGCCCTCATGTTTTTTTTCTTCCCAGGAAAGCAGACTGTTATGAGCTATAGGCCTTTTCGCAGGAAAATCTATGAATAATGTTGTTCATCACATTCCAAAGTGCCATTGGCTCCTTTGAAGATGGTCACACGTTCAAATTAATTTAAAATCCTCAGGCAGTGTTAAAGCTTTACAAGACAGTCGTTGTTACATGCAGGCGGTTGGAGGTATGGGAAAATATTTGACAGCTTACTTGCTGGAATTAGATTGTTTGGTGGTACAAGTAGTCCCTTCAAGGAGGAAGTCCCCACATCCATTTATTTATTTATTTACTTCATCACCTAAAAAAGCCATAGGAACATGAATAGCTGTTCTGCGAAAACCTAATGCATTTGAAAATTAGTAACGACTGAAGGAGCACAGCAGACAGGTCAGGGATAAGATGTAATTCAGTATCTAAAGTAGTGCTGAAATAATTGTTAACTAATTCAGCAATAGATTAATCGTTAACTGGAGTGTGGAGACTCTAAAACATGCCTTAAGCTGATAGAACAACACACTTAGAGCAGCAATTACACCCAAACTGTGAAAAATATATGACAATTTTGCATTAAGATAAAAGAAAAGTTTTTGTCCTTCAATATGATCTGTCCAGAATTCCTCAAGTGAAAACTTTTTAGTTGCAACTGGTTTAATTTCAATTTCTTATTTAAGGAACCTTTGGCTATCCAATTATGAATCAATTAATTGAAAAAAATAATTGTGAAATTAATTAGTTGCAGCCCCAATCTAAAACATTGAAAACTCTCTCTAATTTCCCCCCCAATTATTTTAAAACAGAAATAAATTTTATAGCTGCAGTTAATATCGCACTATTACTTGTTCCACATTTTTGTTTAACTTCAATATATCTTCACCCCGATGTGGATCATGTGTGAATGTTCTTTTGTTTTGTGTGTAGTAGGAAGTTTTCATCTGTGGAAACAAAATGGGATTGGATTCTATTTTAAAGGCAAAATGCCATCCCAGGTCCAAGGGACAAATTGGTTATGGTCTCTTCTTCCAGTCCATCATCATGAAATATTTATTTACTAGGCGATTACAAAAAAATTATCCAAAAAAGAGTGAAAATATATGTGCAATTAATCAGAGCAGGTAATTGTGGTGATCTGCCAAATGAATTTGTTCTTAAAATAAGACAATTAGATTTTATGCTCTTGATTTAGGTTAATAGCTTTTTTAAAAGCGTAAATGATATTTCATTGATACATTTTCTAACCTGCTTATGAAATCACACAAAAGAGTCTCATTTAGAAAAAAAATTTATGAATATATATTTTATTTCAATTTTTGCAACATTTTTTTTAGTAGATACTGGGGAAAAAACAGGGTCCAGGAAAATTTCTTTGGTGGCCCTGCCCCCAGATTGCCCCTGTCTTGAACCACCTATGCACACGGGGTTTCATCTAGATCCTTGATTCAATTTAATTAAATAAGAACATTAATGGTTTATATAGCTGAGGAAATAGAAGGAACGGGAGCTGATGTTAAGGAAAATTTTTAAAATAAAAGCTTAGAATTAAAGTACTATATATTTGTTTGCGATCAGAACAAATTGATGAGACGTGATATAAAGTCTAATACGGTTAAACTCTTACTGTAATGTTTATTTTATGTGATTTTCTCACGTGGCATGCGCATTTGTTGAATAATGGATTTTATTCTGAAGGAAACAAACCGGAAACTCTCTATACCATCTTGCCACAATTTTTCTCTTTGTCTTTGCCCGTGTTGACAACACTAATGGTCGCTACAAAAACACGTTTAACAGCCGTTGTTGCCTAATGAAAACCCGGTAAAGAACGGGGTAAGCTTCCAGACTCCCTCCCTAAATGTGCTAGCATTAGCATCGAAACAACAGATTCGAATTTTTTTTTCAGGCTGGCTAGCTTACTAGCTTTAGCCAGGCTTGTGTTTATTTGCTCTTTCATGGTGGTGTCATGGCTGAAACCTGTTGTTTGCGACATTATGGGTAATTTTAGGCAGAAGTGGTTGAAGTGTTTTTTTGGTTCAGGAGGGCAGGCAATAGGTGTCCAGGTTCTGATGAGGTGATGAAGCTTTCAGTTGAGTCTACAGGCTGTTTACTGTCTGCAACGTTTAATGGCTGAACTCCTGTCATTCTCTCAGATTATTAAAAGAGATAAACATAAAACATCATGTAATTTTTATGCCATTCGTTTTCATTTCCGCCCCCCTTTTAACAGAGCCATACATAAAGCCTGGATATGTAAATATTTCTTGCACTGAGCTTTTATAATCTAGTATGTGACACAGGCATAGTAATGCTTTAAAGATCCTGAGTTTTAAAGATAGTATTTACTCTATTCTATGAACTATATCAGTCTCTCATTAGATTTGCCCATAAAACCAGACTTCGTACAGTTCTTTTGTTAATTTTGTAAGGATTTATTTATTCAAAAAGGAACCCACCCTCCAAAAAAGATGTTTCCATGCATCTGATTACATCACAAAAGATCATTTTTCAGTTATTTATTAGTGTTCATTTGAAGGAGGTTTATAATCACATCATGTATTTAGAAAGATTACTGTAGAACTTCTAAGCTGCATTTAAAAACTCCAATTGGTTTTAAGGAAAATTAGTCCAAAGGAAGAAAAAAGTCAAACGAGTCAGAATTGAACTGGAGCAGAATTATGGGCCACATTTTTCTATCAAACAGTTTCTGCAGCTTCTAAGATGATGGACATATAAGGGAGATCATTGAGGTTTAAACCCAGCGCAACTTAAAAGACTCTAACTTCAGTGCATAAATCTGTCAAACTGAATTGTCTGCCACAGTGTTTTATTAATACCAGCTCAGATTAGTTCTTCTGATGGCATACACAGACATACACACCTAGTAGAATTAGCAGGATCTTCTTCTTTGCAGTTTCTGAAACCATACGTTTTTTAACATCTTTCAGTTTAAAACACTATTTAATTACCTTGCTGTGTTTTTATCGTCTATGTACAGCTCGTAGTGAAAAGAAAATACAGCACTGTACATATCTTTACAGAAGCTCTATGACGAGTCGGACAAAAATAAACTGATCATACTTTTAGCAATTTAGCGTTATCTTGGCTTTAGTTTTCTTTATGGTTAAAATAAAGCATTGTTGATATGGTCTTATGGTACAGAGTAATATTTATAGTTTACTTCACATGTTACACTTAGGTTAATGGGTTTTTATAAAACCCTTATTATTATAGTTTAATTGTTGATCTTAGCTATTATATTTACTGAGTAGCACAGTTTTTGTGATATGAATGAGAATTCCTTTTAAAAAGCCATCTGACACATTAGCTAGTCAGCTTCTGTTAAACAGCACTTTAGATCTAATAAGAGCAAGAGAAATGCATTTCAGCGCACATTTATGTGTTACATTGATTGCTTTTGTCTTCCTTAGATGTAGCAGATAAAATGGAGTACGGGGAGAGACTTGCGCATTTCCGTCAAACTCGCCTCAATCCCTTTGATCGCGGAGAAGAGGAAGATCAACCTGAGGGAGGGAAGGCAACGCAGCAACATGGTAAATAAAATCACCGTTAAAACCAGCTATTCTCAATTATTCATTTGTTCTCAATTGTTCATGAAAAAAATATGCATGGAAAATAAGAGATAGTATAGGGAAGAATGACATAGACAAAACTTACATCATAGTCCCAGAAAGACTGCCAAACATACCCACACACATGCCTGTACAAACTAATGACAGTTATTTTACAATGTTTATAAATCTTCTCTATTATATCAGCGTAGAATGATTTTCTTTTGAAAAAACTCATAAAAACCTGCAACATCAGTAAGCGACAACTGCCTTAGTCATAGGCTGTAATGTCTCTTGAAAAATACAATACAATACATTTTTGTATAAAATTAAATCCTAATATATTTATATTGGAATTATTGTTCAGCTCTTAAGATTGATCTAACACAATAAAGCTGTTTTTTTTTTTTTTTTTTTTAAAGCTAGAAAAATATGCATAGAATATTTTTATTGCCACTGAGAAAAACGTAAGGACCCCCTACCCCTAAATTGGTAGCATTATACCCAAACTCTAAAATACCTTGAGTGAGATGCTTTTACTAATAGAAAGTACATTAGCTCCACTAATAATTAATTTAACCACACAGCATCTCAGTTATATCAAAATCTTTGCTTTGAATCAGACCAAAACATTTAATTTCTTAATTCCACCCCACAGTCTCTTTTGAATACTTCATACTACAGCATGCTCTCTGTTCTGGTATCCTAGTAGTTTACTCTTAGGCTTGTTTGGTTTTTGAATATTGTTCCAGAAGTGCAGATTTACTTTAGATTTACTTTTCTCAATGACCTGTATATTTTCCCAAACAGCAGTATTTTCTTTTTTTAGAGTCATGCACTTTGATATTAATTGATAACAACATCCTGCCACTTGTTTTCCACCATTTATTTCAAGAAAACTTTTTATATGTTAAAAAACTTGCAGGATATATGTTTCACAAATAAGTTTTAATATCAGAAAAGTCCTAATATTAAAAACAATGTAGAATAGACCCTTGTGACAAACTCCAACCTTGTAAAATAGGAAGTGGGAAATGTTATAGCTAAACCAGAGCGAATGAGAAGCAAAAGTGTAAGCAGGAAATCAGCTAAACTTCCTTTATTGAAGGATTTGGGAGTCTGTGACCATTTGTTGAAGAAAAGCTGGTCAGACGGTTCACCTGCTCTGGTTCTCATGCTGTGATTTATCTATTACTAAAAAGAAGATAAAGATGTTTTGTCCTGATGTGTATGCAGGTAAAAAAAAGTGTTTATCTGCATTTTTTATTTTATTTTATTTTATGGCAAGCGAATATGATTAGTGCTTTTATGGGCTAGAATATTTGGCAAAATTATTTTAATATACTTTATCTTCCTGTATTTTTTCTGTTTTCTGATTGTTGGACTTTTGGTTCTTAGAATAAAGTTTGTAATAGTTAAACTCACTAGTTGTACGTTATAATGGTTGTTTATTACAGGTTATACAAAGCTGTATTCTTTTTCCTATATAATTATATTACTTAAAAAGATATGAGATTTAGGAATGATTCTCTGTTGTTCCTAAAGCTGGTCTGACTGTTAGATGTCTACGAGGCTGATCCATATTTCCTTTATCTGGATCAAGAATGATAAAGTATTTAGAACCCAAACAGCCTATTTACTATCATTTAAAGAAAGAATGTCTCAAAAATACTTTTTCTTTTGTTCCCTTTTGTGACTCATATGTGTTTAAACTCCACAACTCACAGCATTGGTAAAGTCATACTTGCACGGATAATTTATAGCTTTATCAAAAATAGACTTTAGTTGCATAATTTGATTTCAAAGAGAGGTTTCAGGGAGAAAGTTTTAGTAAATTATTATTAATACACTGTAAGTGGAATAAGTTACAGTTAGTGTTCATTTAACCAGCTTATCTACATATTTTAATGACAGTCATCTCGTGTCCTTTCAGGCAGTTTGGTTACACATTACTAGAGTGTTTAAAACAGTTCTCAGTTTATTCCTCTGCTTTGCATGTGGATAAGGTGTGAAGGAATCTGGACACTTTACTGATCTGTGAAACTGTCTGCTTTCAGAAGGAACTAAAAGTCATGTTTCTATCTTGTTAGAGGCAAGTTCTGAACTGTTTTCGGGGCCCAAAACTCACAGTTCTGATCGTGCCATGGATCTCGGCCTAGCTGAGGACCATTTTTCCAGACCTGTGGTAAGTTTAAATCTTTTTCTGTAACAGTTTAACATTTGGAAACAGGCCTGGATTAGTTCAGTCTTAACTTTCCAGGACATAGTTCAGCTGTTATAGATCAAGTTGGGCTTTGCTCATATCACCAGAGCACATCAGGATAGAGATCTCTTAATTTTGCACAAATAAAAAAAAAAAAAAAATCCTCATTTTTCATAAGGCAATAATCCTTTGATGGTTTGCATTTAAATGTTTGGTGGAGGATTTTCATGAATTTTTGAAAAGAGTGCCCTCTCCACTTAAAAAAAAAGAAGCACATGTACAACCATGTACCCGCTTCAGAGAGGGAACGCCTATTAACTGTGTGCAAGAGCGTGCACAAGCCCATTTCTCCTTGTGCACGCTCTGTTTAAAAGCTGCTGTTTGCATCGCTCATACAAGCTTACTTTCCAAAAGAAGAATTGCAATTTCTCCACTATGTCAAACTCACTACCGTTAAGTAAAAATCGGGATGAGCACGTAGGAAGGCCATCCCTGTAGGAGGACCTCTTATTTTGATGATCCACCCGGAAAAAGAACATCCTCCACTCTACCTTTAAGAGAAATTAAAGCTTTTAGAATCTCAGAATTACCTTTTGGGTCTCGACAGTATTTGAAACTTTTATATTTAGGTAACTTATTCAATTCCTTAAAATGACAATCCAGTGCAACCGGCTGCCTTCGGACTTTCCCGTTTTGGTAGATGAAATCTGCCTTTGTAAACAACCTGTTTGTATGCTCTTTATAATTCCCGCTGTAGCCTAAAGGACCAAGAACATTGGTGAAAATAACAAGTTAACTATTAGTGATGCAATCAAAAAATTGGGCCTCCAGAGAAGAGCAAGAGAAGAGAAAAAAAAGCCATTAGAAGCCCTAATATACTACCAACCATGTAGCGCTATGTTAAACATGTTGGGGACGGTACTTTGGTTTGATTAGTACAAAATCAACCCTACTGTCATGGACTCAGAATGTTGTGTTGCTGAGAAAAAAGTAACATATTCCCTGTTTCTCAACACACTGTCCTCCCTGAACTTTTGCATCCCTACACCCCCATCAGGGCCTTAAGGTCCTGTGATCAAAACCTGATGATTGTCTCCTGTGGAAAATAAAAAAAAAGAAAGGAAACACAGCCTTTCCTTCTGTTGCCCTAAGACATCCCTTCCTCAAGCTCTCAGATTAACGGGCTCGCTGGTTTCTTTTAAAGAATGAAAAAAACCTCATCTTTTGTCTTTTGCATTTATCTTTTTCAACTTATTTTATAGAGATTCACATTTTTACTTGATTATGTTCCGATTATAACATTTGAAACATGCTGAAAACCTACTGGTAAGATGTTCACATTGCATTTTTTTTTTTTTTTGGTTTGTTCAAAATAGAGCAGAGCCTTCCTTTAACTCTTGCTTTAGGTATTTTCTGATAGGTGACCACTTTCACTCCTTAAAACTCATCTTTTTAAATCTGCTTTTGCGTTAGTATTGCTGTATTTCTTTTGTTTGTTGAAGCACTTTATGACTCTTTTCTTGAAAGTTAATATAGAAAGAAAGTTTTATTAACTTACTATGTAACATAGAGTTGGCAACGTCATACTGTGCTTATCTTCAGCAGTGACAGGGAAGCTTGTCATAGGAGCCAAAGATAGGGCAGTCTCAAACCTCAACTACTTATGTGAAGATTCATGCAAACTGTTACAAAGTATAAACACTTCCATCTAAACTAATCTTTTGTTTTGTCGATTTATTTCAGGGTTCTTTTGTGGCCTCAGACCTAGAGCAGCTGAAACTGGCCATAGAAGAATGTAAGAAGCTAATCTTGGAGCTGCCGGAGCATTCGGAGAGACAAAAAGACACTGTGGTCAAACTGATCCACCTGCGACTCAAACTGCAGGAGCTAAAGGTAAGGACTGAGTCAAGTCAGGTCTCTGATGCCGTAAGTTTTAATGCTGCCTCAGGCGCGTGGCTCAGGTTTTCTGTTTTTTATTTTTATTTTTTATTTTTACCAACTGTTTTACCTTCTTTATAAACCTATTCATATGCCTGGCAAATCAGATTGGCTCACTGGCAACTGACTATTCAGGAGAATTAAATTACATTACAGTTCAGGTTTTAGTAAGAGAAATTCACAAATGAATTTAACTCAACCTTTTTGAGTCATATTGCTAAACCCAACTACATAATTGTATTTGTTAAGCCCACATAACCTCAAAATCCATTTTATTTTGTGGGCTTTTCTCTGAAGGACCCAGAGGAAGATGAACCTTATCTAAGAATCATACTGGAGCACCGCTTTTCAAAGGAGAAGAGCAAGAGTGTGAAACAAACCTGCGACAAGTGTAGTACCATCATATGGGGTCTAATCCAGACCTGGTATACCTGCACAGGTAAGCCACAGATGTAGCACTGCAGGATTGTTCTAATGCAGAACTATATCATATGAAAACTGGATTGGCAAACAACTGGATCAGTGGATCATCAATACAAAGACTAGCTTGCATGCTAATGGTTCCTTAATAGCAGCCAAGAGGCTAGCTGCACATGGATGATTTCTTATGTGGTAAAATGGTACCTAAAATCCCAATAGCATTGTCTTTGTTTTCTGTTAGTGATATTTTATTTGTATCTTATTGAGTTTTGAAGAACTTATAACTAAAACATTTTTTTAACCTTACTACTTTTGGGGTTTTTCTTTTTGGTTTCATGGAATGTCAATTGTTTGAATGCAGAAATGAAACAGTTTAGCTTGCACTGTCATGAAGAGGAAGTTAGACATAAAGCAGGTTGGGTTCAAACTCATACATGTGTCTCATGAAGTCACCAGGAGCCAGAGTTCTGGCATTAAAAAAATCTAACGGTTTCATTAAACCAGGTTCCCTGCGTGCATATTCAAGTAAAAATCTTTCTTTCTTTGAGTCAGCAAAAAAAACCCACAATTTTAAATCTGTCTACTTTTTCATACAGTAAAATGCTATTGTTTTTCTTCTTGTTTCAGGTTGCTATTACCGTTGCCATAGTAAGTGCATGAACCAGATCACAAAGCCCTGTGTTCGGTCGAAGGTGAGCCACCAGTCGGAGTACGAACTGAGCATCTGCCCAGAAGTAGGACTAGATCGCCAAGACTACCGCTGTGCCGAGTGCCGCACTCCTATTTCCCTTAGTGAGTAGAAATTTAGAAAGACTGCTTTGGAAATTTAAAGGCTCATCCAGCTCTCCATATATGAAATAAATTAAATTTTAAGGCCTTTACTTATACTTTGAAAAATTACTTAAAAGAATGGGAACTATATATTGCACTCTTCAAAATATTGGAGCTTCAACTTGAGAAATTTGTCTGAGGCCTTCTTCTACTTTAGGCATTTACATCTAAATGGCTACATTTAGGAATGATACCTCATCTAGTTTAAAGTCTTATATGTAACATGCTACGTTTATGCTTTAGGGGGTGTTCCCAGTGAGGCCAGACAATGTGATTACACAGGTCAGTATTACTGCAGCACGTGCCACTGGAACGACACGGCTATCATTCCAGCTCGGGTCATCCACAACTGGGAGTTTGAACCACGCAAGGTATCTTCAACAGGCTGACCAAGTTTACATGGTGCATGCAAAGAAAATCTTGTAGCCTCAGTATCAGCTGGTTTCTTTCTTAAAGCTTTAGACATAAAGGAAATCCAGGGCTTATTGTTACATTAGTTTGCTGTTGGCTTGATCAAAAAAATAATAAAATTATCGCATGATTTTAAAATATTGACAGAAATTGTTTATATCTAAAAAAAGAGGGAAAATGGACTACCTCTCTACTGCCAGTCTGGTAGATATCACTGTGGAGCCTTTTTGCTGTGTGGCGCAGCGCCATATCTGTATTTGAGGCAGTCACAGTGGAAAAGGTGGATTTAAACCTCAAACAACATGGATACATAATAAACATAAATGAATAATAAACAATAAACATAAATAACCTAATGATCAACATCTTCTGAAGAACACATACGGCTCTTGCTGTATATGGTCTTGGGAAAAATATTGTAATATATAGTATATTGCAATATCCTGATAATATAATTTGTGACCTTATTATTGTGAAACGTATCGTATCGCAACGGCCATGCCGATACTCACCGCTACTGCCTAGCAAGTCAAAGCCATTGCTTAGTTGATCAGGGAGTTTTTTTTAGGCTATACAGCTGTTTAGTCCCAATCCCTTTGGATTTCCCATTGTTGTTTTTTATGATCTGATTTGACCAAAATTTATTGTTAAGAATTCATAATTTTTTTTTTTTTGGAGCACATTTCTTCCAAAATTCCTGCAGCTTTTTAAAAACCGATGGCACACTTCTTTAACTGGTTTTAGCGATTTCACCAATCTCTTTAAATGTTTTATGTTGATGCATGCCAATAATGAGACTGTTGAAAGAGTGTATGTGTGTTGGTAAATAATAAGCCGCTCACTGCATCAGACAGTGCTGAATAACTTGTTGACAGGGAAAACATACTCATACATGCAATCATTTTACAGTTTTATATATAGCACCATATTTGCTTGTTAAAGTTATGCTAAATCAGTTGATGAGTTCTACATTAGGACTGGGTGTCATAGGGTGTCCCGTGATAGGATACAAATCTTGATTTAGTTTTTGATAATGTCTTGATCTGTTCTGCAAATATTTCCCCAAAAATACCAGCATGAATCACTGGTCATCTCGCTGCCTTAACTCTTGATGTAAGGGATTTTTTTAGGAATTATTTTTAGAAGAACTGCTGTGAAAATCACAAAACGTATTATCCTCCATTGTTTAGTTCTCCTAATGAAGGGCTGTCTGCTTATGCAAATTTAACTTCAGGTGTTTCTCGTGTCCTGATAACATGTACACTCCTCGGCTTGTAAAAGTTTGTTCTGCTGTGTTGTGGGAAAAAAAGTATTCACCTATGCACTCCAGTTAAATAAACCAAGATCGATGGATTTCACTCAGTTGGCATTTTATTACATGTTTGCAAAGAGAGAACAAGACATTATACAGCCCTTATTGCATGGTAATCAGCCCTGTTCTGCTCTAGACAGAGTTGTTCCCCTTACTTAAAGCAGTCAGAGTCAATACAAATTATGTTAAAACAACAACATTTTATGATGGTTAAATAGCTTAAGTCAATATAAGAAAATAAGAGAAATCAAAACGTTCTGACCACAGCTGTCATCGCTAACAGGATGTTGCCTCTCTTTTAGGTTTGTCGCTCCTCGATGCGTTATCTTACGCTCATGCTGCCCCGACCTGTGCTGAAGCTGAAGGAAATCAACCCGCTGCTCTTCAACTTCGTGGAAGAGCTAGTTGAAATCAGGGTGAGAAACATTTATTTTTTTATTCACCATTTTATTCCAGTTTTAAAATTGAAGTTTAATTTATTTTCTTTATGGTCAGGTTTGTCATTTTCTATCATTTTTTCACTGCATTAGTGAGCTCAGATCTCAGCTGTGAACAGAGATGGCAAAAGTACTCACTTTCCGTACTTGAGTAAAAGTACAGATACTTGTATTAAAAAATACTCTGGTAAAAGTCGAAGTACTGATTAAACTTCTTTACTCAAGTAAAAGTAACAAAGTACAGGCTTGTAAATTTACTTAAAGTATAAAAGTAAAAGTAGAAACCACTTTTTTCATGCCGTTGCCTACATTTTAAATGGATGTCTGCCAATAGGACTAGATCTCCGTTGTGTTCATTTTCAATCATCTCATCGTCCATACTACTATGCTAACGCCACCGCCACCAAGCTGCAATGATTTGCCGCGAATGAATACCGCCGAATCTGTCGATTCATCTTGTAGTGGTGCGTCAAATGCAACATAGATTCCCATCCAATTAGACTGAATTTGGTATTTGCGAGAAAACGGCTCACCAGCTCCCGTCTCACGTCAGAGGAGGAGTAAGCAGATGACTTGCAAAAAGGTGGTAAGAACCAGCGGACAACAAAATTCAAGTTCAAAGCGTGTAGCGGTTTATTTACTGGTGCAACGGTGAAGACAAAAAAAAAAACAAAATACTTTCAAATAAAGAAAACAAAACTGGCCATTGCAGGCCATTCAAAACACTGACAGCCTCACAGCAAGCTGACTTTAAATATAGTCTCTCTAAGCAGACCTTCAAAAGCAGTTTCTCCAACCAGTTTCTCCAAGCAGCCCCCCTAAGCCATTGGGAGTGTGCCCTTAAATAGACCCACCAATAATCAGCCAATTCGGACAGCCCAACTAAACAGGAAGGCAAATCGCCAATAAAGCACAATTAACATTGTAGAAAAATAAATACAGACAATAGCATCATTCATACAAAAACATACATATTTATGAAATAATTTAACCATACTAACATTACCATTTCACCTACTTATTACCATGCAAACAATTATTACATACATTGAAATCCCACTTAACACCCCTGCCCCTTAATAGTCTTTTCCAATGCCCTGGGACAATGGATAAGAGACTGGCTCCGATGCGGTACGTGTTTCCACACGGACCAGTATGCTGACGGACTAAGGGAAGATGTGTAATTTGACTGGGAAGTTTTATTGCCGACTACGGAATGTATATTAAAGCTGTCGCAGTGGGTACCTTCAGAGTTTGCTACGCTGGTGAGTTGTAATTTCGGAACTAGTGTAAATTACCGGGTGAATTGTTTGGAACTGCCGCCGCCATGACGGCTGGTCTGTGGTGCATGCTGGGGAATGTAGTGAAGGATGTGATGCTGTGTGTGATAGACGGCGGCTACACCTTGCGAACAGAGGGGGAAAGCTGCTCCGTTTTCACAGTATTGATGACGTGAAAAATAATAACGGTAACTCCATTGAAATGATTCAAAACTAAAGTAACGAGCCAATTTTTTAAAATGTAAGGAGTAGAAAGTACAGATATTTGTGTAAAAATGTAAGGAGTAGAAGTAAAAAGTCGCCATAAAAATAAGTAGTAAAGTAAAGTAAAAATATCAGAAAAATCTACTTGAGTACAGTAACGAAGTATTTGTACTTCGTTACTTCCCATCTCTGGCTGTGAACCAGGGATGAAGTTGATTTCTATGTTTTTCCAAACCACTCTAACAGGGCTCCTGTTACTAGTCTGATTTAATGAGTGTTAGATTTACAACATTTACAACATTTCATCATTTTAAGCTTATAAAGTCTCAACTGATCTGTAATAAAAAGGCTTATGTTGAATAAAATCCTTGTGCCATTTATGTGGAAACCCCCCCCCCCAAAAAAAATGTTTATTTTATTGATAATCTGAAGGGGGGACCTGAAACATAAAAACTGCTTTAATTCCTGTCTGTTTGGGATCTCTTTCACAGAAACTTCGTCATGATATTCTGCTGATGAAACCCTACTTCATTACTTGCAAGGAGGCAATGGAAGCTCGGCTGCTGCTTCAAGTCTGTAACGACTCTCATTATCAAATTAGATCCTTATGATTGGTAAAACAGAAAGAAACAGTGCTGCCTTGTGAAAAAAGGATGCACTTACACTTAAGTGGTAAAAAAAATCTTAATTTTCCTTTTAATTTCACTCTACAAATTAATTTGCATGTGTTACATTATTATGTCAGGGATGGAATTGGATTATTTTCAGTCGGGTTATATTTAATCTACTTGGATTTCCATTGCGCTGCAAATGGTTACTTCCTATTTGACCGTACTAGATAATTTTAGCATAGAAACTCAAAATGTAAAATATTTAACTAACTGAGGAATTCTTCAGAATTATTTTTTTGTACAATAAAGTTAAGATGTAAAACAGAATAGTACAATTTTGCCATAAGGGCAGAAGAACCGAAAGGTTTTGTAAAATCTGTGTTTATTTGTTCAGGAGAAGAGATGAGGTATCTGAAAATGAAAACTTAAAGCAGTTTAAAACATCAAGGGGGATTTTTTAACACCACTTTTACTCCTAACTTACTAATTTACTGCAAAGTTGGGTGATGTTGCATTGAGCTTATCCTGCTCAGGTTCTGGGCTTGGCTGCTCAGGTTAAGCTTCATGTTCTCTTTGTGTTTTTTGCTGCACAGCTGCAGGATCGGCAGCACTTTGTTGAGAACGACGACATGTACTCACTACAGGATTTGATTGACATCTCCACTGGGAGGCTGAGCTGCTCCCTCACTGAGATTCACACAACATTTGCCAAACACATTAAACTGGACTGCGAGGTGAGCTCAGTCTGACAAGTCTTATTTAATTCACTCTTCAATGTTTGTTTCAAGTAGAAGAGCTGAAAATGATAACATGTAATTATGGCACTGAAATGCTCCATAAAATGCAGCGTCACTGCTGCGCCGTTGTGTAGCTGTGCACCCTCCCCTCCCTGCTGCAGGTCGATCAGAGCATCGTCTCACTGGGTCACCCTGTCAGTTTACACATTAATGGACGATATCCACCCAATATGAAAACAAGAAATAAAAGTGGACTTGATGAACAATCACCGATAATTTCTGAGAGAGATAAAAACATTTGCGAACATATAGGCCTATCTTCCGGACTGTGATTGTGCTTTCGGCCACCAGGTGGTTTCATGAGCACATGATGCTTCAAGAAATGATTAATTTGCAACTGATTCAATGCCTCATTTCAGCACCACTTGCCACCAGCAGTGTGTAAATGTGTGCAAGAATGGATAACTGACTGTAATGTAAAGCGCTCTGAGTCCCCTGACTGTTCAATTTCTTATTTTGCTGGACTCCACAGGCTCTTTAAATAGTCCATTCATCCATTCATTCCATTTTCTTCCGGGTCACAGAGGCAGCAATCTAAGCAGAGATGCCCAGTCTTCCCGATCCACACACACCTCCTCCAGCTGCTCTGGGGGAACCCAGAGGTGACACCAGGCCAACTCAGACAAAGTCCCTCCAGCATTTCCTGGGCATTCCACAAGACCTCCTTCCAGTAGGACATGCCTGGAACACCTCCAGAGGGAGGCGACCAGGAGGCATCCAGAACAGATGCCTAAGCCACCTCAGCTGGACCCTTCCGCATAAAGGAGAAACGACTCTACTCCGAGCTCCTCCCGGGTAACTAATCTCCTCAGATGAGGAGATCTCGAAGGGTATGCCCAGCCACCCTGTGGAGGAAACTCATTTCGGCCGCTTGTATTTCTAACCCTAACCCTCCGACTCAACTCCCTCTTCACCACAAAAGTCCGATACAGCAACAGCATCACTCCCGGCGTCGCACCGATCTGTCTATTGCTCGCACACTCCATCTGTCCCTCACTCGTGAATAAGACCCCAAGATACTTGAGCTCCTCCGCTTTAGAAAAGGACTCTCGGCTGACCTGAAGAGGGGAGTCCACCTTGGCGTCGTATTTGGAGTAGAATAGTCTTTAGTTTTTAATCAAGAACATTGCATTCTGGAAGTTGTAAAGTATAGCATTTTTGGCTGGTTGTTATCTCTATAAGTGAAGTAACACATACATTTGTTTGTGAACCTATAGTTGTTAGAGCTTTAAAATTGATTTTAGGGAAATTTTAAAAGTAAGTGAAATAGTTAAGTCCTCTATATGCTGCTATAGCACAAGGATCGCATAATTAAAATAGCTACAGTTATATCTTGACAGTTAAATGCCTAAAACAGGTACAGCCTTATCCTTTTTATATATAAGAAAAAAAAAAACAGACTGCGCACATCCAGCTACAATCTTCCCACTTAGGATGATGCTTTAATCAAAATGTAGCTTTGCAATTGTTTCAGTAGTTGAAACATTACAGTGATTTTACTGAGACTGCATCCTATGGGCAAAGGTTTTTCCATGACAGAGGTCATTTAAGAGATAAGTTGCTCTGCTAACTACAAACCTTGTTATTCATGAAAAGGTTTAAGGACTTGGAGACAGCAGAATTGATCAAAAGCGCCATCTTTTGTTTGACATGAAGAAGCAGCATGTAGTTTCTATTTTAACAATTGACAATTCTAGTTGTAGCTTCCAGGTTTAGCAAGTTATGCACAGAAAATGCAACCATCAATGCTGTGGTGGCCCAGTTCCAGGGCTAACAATGAATATTGCTCACATTAAATCTCACATAATAACTACATAAACAAGTTTTGCTATGAAACACTCTGCATTAGATGATTTGTGAGCATAAATCCTATGAAGCATTGTGGTAAAGTTGTCAATATTCAGTTGAGGAATCTTAGGAATAATAAAAAAAAAAAATATTTTTTTTTCTCTCTAACTCTCTAACCTCGTCTCATTGTTGTGCTTGTGTGTTTGTAGCGCTGCCAGGCCAAAGGCTTCGTCTGTGAGCTTTGTAAGGAGGGAGACATCCTGTTCCCCTTTGACAGTCACACCTCATTGTGTCACGAGTGTTCTGCTGTCTTCCACAGGTGAGTCACCATAGAACCTTTAAACTAAAACCAAAAGCCCTCCATTTTTTAAGCTAACAGATTTAGCAATGCAGAAATCTGTCCTATCCATCACTCAGTCTGCCTGCTGACCTAAGACTGGATTGCAGGGTAATACATTAAGGAGGTTAACCCAGGCATTTTATTTCAGGAGAACCCTCTCATTTTTTGCCATTTTATCGAGAATCTTGTTCTTCCAGTAATGATCCATATCTCATGACTACCAGTCAGGATCGGAGCTTGTAAATCCAGACCTTCACTTTTAAGCTCATCTCTTCACCACAACAGACCCAATCAGGTTCCTCATAAATACAGATTAACACATTACCCATCAAGATGCTAAGCTAATTGAACTCTTCATTCCACCTGTTTTTCTGAGTCAGAATCATGGCCTGAGATTTAGAGAAGTTGACTCTCGTTCCACCTACTTGTTGTGGAAAAAGCCAGATGAGACCACCGAGGTCGTTTACCAGATACTCCTCTCTTTCAGTGAGAGATGCAGTCTATGACCACCAAAAGCAGGATCAGTAAACAGCTGTGGTGAAGTACAACCCACTCAGGGGAAAAGCTCATCTTAATACCCAGAATACAGACAAAGCTCTCACTTTTGGGGTACAAGGATTGGGTAAACAATAAATGCCACCCTGAAACCTCATATTCACTGGAAAAGCAAACCCCTCAGCAATTCCAAGTGTCTGAAGATAAATAAATAAATCAAGGTTCTTAGTTATTGGCAGTTGTAGAAGTTTTTGTTGTTCTAATTTTTTATATATTGAAGTATAACTTCCTAGAAAACAATTCTAACATGTCTGTTTTTGTATTTGTTTAGAGACTGCTACTATGACAACTCAACAACATGTCCGCGATGCGCTCGAATGACCGACCGCCAGCAGGATGAGGTGGAAGAAGAGAAATGAGCTGGACTCCAGGAAGAAACATGGGATGCTGAGCAAAGCTAGCTTCTCCCCTTAGTCTAAGTTTGGTTTGTTTTCTTTTCTTTGTCTCAACAGTGCACTACTATATAAAACAGGGAACTAAAACATTAACAGTTTGGTGGACTGCACACTGTGTACCTGTTGGGAGATCTGTGATCATGGCTGCTTGTATAAGTTTACATTTTAATTCCCTTCAGAAGAATTGGGAGGAAGGAGCTGTTTATTGCTGCTCTTGCAGAGAAATTAGCTTATTTGCTTTAATGTGTTAATTCAAAAATTTCAGCTTTCAATCATAGAGTGATAAAATGTTAACCGTTCTAAACATGCTACTCCTCATCTTTTGTGATTTTCATTTAGAGCCAAAACCATATCCTCAGTATCGACTATTAAGTCAGCTGTCAAAACTAAACAGACAAAAATAATAGTTTTTTTTATTATAATTCTGCAGATTCATTTATTTCTTATATTTACAAAGATAACGCTATGATTCAGTTTTAACAATTGATGGCTTCAATGGTCTTTATATAAGAATAACTTTATTTACAGGGCAAACTGCAATATTCATTTTCATCATTCCATTTGTTAGTTTTTTTTCCCACTATCAGTAGAGAGAACCTGTTAGCTTATACTTTGATTTAGTAAAAAGTAGCAACATTACTCTACATTCATAGTAACCAAATGTTAACCGGAGCATGCCTCTGCAGTATCTTTTGGACTTAATGGATTAATTGTGCTTCTCTGTTCTGTTATTTAAAGCTGTGAACTGTTTTGTACATTCAGGGCGTTTTTATGGATCTGAGTGCAGTTTTGGTAGGTAATAGCTGACACCTCTGCTGAACATTGGTAAGATGTTCACCCTACAGCTGCTATCCAAACATTTCATTACCATTGTTTTAATGGTCTCAGTCTTATGCTATTGAGAACATGTTTTGTGCAGACATTAGTATATTAGCTGGTAAATCTGTGATCAATTGGATATAAAGTTTTTGTTTTTTAAATAATTGTTTGGCTGTGTTCTTCTTCAGGAGCATGAAGTACTGTAAATATAGTGTTTTTTTTTATTTTTGAAATTAATAAACATACATGGTTTTTGTGAATGCAATGCCCTGATGTAAAACAACTGATCAATGCATAAATAAAATAACCTGCTAATTGATGTTTTGAGATGTTGGTTCAATATTTCAACATGGTGTTCTTTCTCCATGATGCCATCACCTTTATGTAGCGCAGTCTGTCCTGCAGCAAAATGCTGCCAAACTAAGGTTACCGGTTCATCGTAATTCAATACATTCACAATACATGTTTATTTATTTTAACTTTGCATTTTTACAGAAGTTAAAACAGGAACCAAAATGCAAACAACCATCAGAAAACAGACAAAAAATCTTAATGAAGTAAAAAAAAAAAAACATAATTCACCAAAATCCAATGTTCTTTAGATTGTATTTTCTCAGTGACCTATACATTTTCCCAATTAGCAGTATTTTTTGATTTTTAGAATCATGTACTTTGATATTAATTGATAACAGCCTGCTTAAGGTCTTTTAAACAGTTTTTTTCCACCATTTCTTTCAAGAAACATTTTTTGTATATGTGAACAGGTTACATGATATATGCTTGACAAATACATTTTGTAAATTTAATCAGTTTTAAAAGATAATCAGTTTATGGATATTGTTTATGACAATTTTTTGTGTTTAGTTTTGGTTACTGTTTTTCTGTCACTTCCATGAGAAATTAGGATCTTATTTGGACTTTGGGTACGATGCATGTGGATGCTTTTTTCTTTAGATTTACATCCTTTTTCTTAAGTCATACTATATTGAAAAGGTTACAATTGCATTAAATCAGTGATGGGTTTTTTTCTGTGTTGTAGATCAGAAATGTCCTCAAATCTCGAGGGGGAAATTCATTGCAAATATTGATTTTCACTGAAAAAAAATGAACTGATTTATGTTTTCAAATTATTTTGTATTTTCTGTTGACTTTTTTTCTGAGTTCAGGGAGAGTTATATACAATGTTGAGGGCTGTACAATGGAGCAGTGGGTAGCACTGCTGCCTTGCAGCCAGAAGTTTCCCGTTTCGATTCCTGGACCACATCTTCCCACTCTAGGTTCCTGAGCAAGACCCTTTACCCCACACTGCTCCCTAGGTGTCGCACAATGGCAGTCCACTGCTCTCCAAGAGAGAGATTCGAGAGCAGAGAGTTACTTTCATTTCTCTGTACTTGTGACAGTGTAATGATGACAAGAAAGCTGAATGATTGCTTGTGTCTGTGTTCCCCTGCCATTGACTCCTGGACAATGGGCACCATCACCCCTCGTGACCCCAGTAGAGATAACATTACGGAAAATGGATAGATGGATACAATTGTGAATCAAAGGAATTCAATCAGAATTGAGGAAACAATAGAGATGCAAAAAATCTTCCTAGCAAGTTATTATTTTTTTTATTGTAATTACAATGTCACAAGCACAGTGCAACAAAATTTACTCTCTGCATGCAACCCATCCCCTTGGGGAGCAGTGGGCTGCCCTTTGCAGCCCCCGGGGAGCAGTGTGGGGTTAAGGTTAAGTGTGTGAGAGACTGAGAATCCATAAATCATAATATATGATTTTTTAACAATTTATTTGTATAACGCAGCTGCAAATATGTATTTAAAAACCTGTCTATCAGGTAGACTTCTGACCCTCAAAGACCTTTTAGTCTGCCTTAAAAATGTCCACTCCATTTATTATCCTAAATTAGATGCCCCACTTTGAGGTCATTGGCTACATAAAGGCACCTGTCCACCCCATAAAATCAGTAAGAATCCAACCACTTATAAAATTGTACAACCCCACAAGACTGGAAAGGGCTACAGGGAAATTTCCAATTGTGTTATCCAACTGGACTTCCATCTTCCAGGTCCCTGAGTGAAGTTCTATCAGCTCACGCAGTCCACTGGATCTCCCCATAAAGCTCAGCATACCGTCTCTCTAACCAGCAGTCTACAGACTAATCAACTTCATCTATCTCCACTCCACCACCAGTTTCAGCCCTATTCTTTTCTCCTGTTCATGCATACAGTATCTATCAAAATTGAGCGCTATGTTTCCTGCCGAAGTCTGAGCGTGAAAGACAAAGTAAATGTATCAACAAATTTCTCCTTCGTGTGAGTTTTTCTGATTGAAATGAAATCCAGTCTAGCCATGTGACAAATGAATCAAGATAAGACAAGAGTTTATTTTTTTGTACAGGAGTAGAACTAACAAATACAACACACCTTAACATTTACTAGCATAATACATTTCAAAAATGCATAAAGAAAAGGTGTTCAGAAGGTATGATGACGAAAAAAAGTGAAATTAGGTTGTACATTAACTTGGTTACTTATTATTACTTATTAATTTATATTCTTGACTTATGATTTTGTTCCTGTCTGGATTACTGCAGTAGACTCTATGTTGGAGTGGATCAGTCTCTACTCTTTCATCTACAGCTGGTTCCAAATGCTGTTGCATGTCTTTTAACAGGTATCAATATAAACAGAACAGAGCATACGACCCCTGTTCTGACCTTACTCCATTGGCTCTCTGTGCATTTAGCCTTCATTCCAAAAATTCTTATTTTTGTTTTTAAGTGTTTGAATGACATTGCAATCACATTGCCTCTCCAAGCTTCTTCATCCCTATTTATGCTCTCAGGTCAGCTGACCAGCAGCTCCTGCTGGTACAGAAGGAGCAATGCCTTTTCTGTTGTTTCTCTTCAATTATATAAAGCTTCCACCAAACATGAGTGATGCCTATTCACTGTCTACAATAAAAACCTGGCTTAAAACCCGTTATTATTCTTTGGCTTTCAAAACTGGCAGGGTATTATTTTTTTTTTAACCTTGTTTCTACCTTGTTTGTTTTAAATTGCTTTTATTGTCTCTGTTAAGTGTTTTGTTTTGATGTATTATCTTGTTGTTTTTTTAGACAGTTTCTTTTCTCATAGTCTGTACCTTTGTACAGTAAATTGAAGCTATTATAACACATTGTTTTAGATTGCAGCTGTTTTTAGGCAGTTTATAAATAAACATGGGAAGATATGGTATGTTATGTACATGAGCGCATGCTGGACTACACGTATATTTATTCAGTGCATTATTGTATTCTATTTTCGGTGGTAATATACTTCTATAACAATCGTTGCTCAGTAAATGGAATATTAATTTCAATGAAGTTGATTTTGTACATACTACGGTTAACAATAATAATAATACATTTTATTCAAAGCCCCTTTTGGGACACATAAGGACACTGTACAACAAACAATTAATACAAATTATTAACATTACAGTGGAGGCAGTCAGTGGAAGTATGCAGTCTTCAACAGATTAGTTTTTTGTCTTGATTTAAATAGAAATAAAGTGTAGATATTACGAGTATGGAGAGGGAGTGAATTCCAGAGTTAGGGAGCAGAGCAGAGCAAATCTCTGTTATCTATGATGATTAGGCAGGCAGGAGGCTCAACAACGTGGATGGAGGATATAAGGGTACAGGTAGGGGAAGCAATCTGAAGGAGATCTGAGAGGTATGGGGAGCAAGATTATGGATTACGTTGAATGTGAAAAGGGGGATTTTGAACGGACTTTTGAAATGACATGGAGCAATGAAGGTCCTCTGGGACTGTATGCTGGTGAAGATTTTCAGTCATTCTGCTCATAGTCATACCGAGAAAGTTAAAAAACAATCCACTGGACTTTGCTTCCAAGTTTAAAGATCAGAGCATTACTCACTGCATTGAACTGCATCAGAGCATTCATAAAGTGACATGGATGTTTTCCCATGAAGTCCTCAGTGGGGGTAAATGAATGACACTTCAGTCATGACGCATATAACCCTCCTGCTGCATAATTTTTCCTGGTATACATTTGTGTTCCTATTTTAAGCTTAAAGCCAGAAATTGCAGAGAAGTTCTGGTCAGTCTTGACTCCAGTCCATCTCTGTCTAAAAAACATTGTTTTTTCCACCATATTAATACATAAAATAAATAATTTCTGGGAAGAGAGCTGTAGATTTAATAGGACAAATAACTGAATTTAAAAGAGGCAAGTTAGGGGTACAGGATGCAGGGTGCACACAGACACCTGATTGCTGGTTCTGGATAAAAACCTGCTCTAACCTAGAATTATTTCTGAGACATTTTTGCACAGCCTCCAATTGTTTTTTTTCCAGCGTTTTATTGTCATTACACTGTCACAAGTACAGAGCAATGAAATTAACTCTCTCCATTTAGCCCATCCCCTTGAGGAGCAGTGGGCTGCCTTCGTCGTGCGTCACCCGGGGAGCAGTGTGAGTTTAAGGGTCTTTGCTCAGAGACTCAGAGTGGCAGTCTGTGGGAGTGGGGCTTGAACTCCTCCTTAACCACTAGGCTGCCACTTTGGGCCCTGTCTTTAGGTATCAGTTGATTTTTGCCTAAGTATCAGTAGCTCGCGTTGTTTTTCTCCTTTAACCTGGTTATCTATTTATAATAGAGTCATAAAATAAACAAAGGAGTATCAGACACAAACATAATTGTCATAACCGGAAATATTTTTGATAACTCCAAATTTGTATAGTTCTTTCCATGGCTCTGCAATTGATTTGAGCCTAAATATCTCGCGAGATTGTGGGTTGAACTTGTAGCTAGGTGCGCGCTGCGCTCCTCCAGCGGCTCAGAGCTCAGCCTCCACTGCGCGTCTCTGGACAGATGGCTACAGATGTATGAGACCAGGATCCATATTCCTATTTCTGTCACACTGATGGGATTCCTCTTACTCAGCATGCGTCCTCTATGGAACCTCCGGATTTTTAAAGGAAACTTTTCCACAGTTTATTTTTATTTTCGCTCCAGAAATGCTTGGGTAAGGAAAATAGTTTTTTTTTATCAAAACAAGCAAATCAGCATGAGATAACATAGATATGCAAACACAGACGCAAAAATATGCATATTAATATAAATTATATATTATGTAGTTTTCATCAGCGTTTCCTTTAAGATGCATACTGTAGGTTTCCGCATCTATCGTGATAAAAAAAACTTTGCGTTAGGCTACTACTGACAGCTGCCCCTCAAAGCCTCAAACAAACAAACATGGGCTGTTTCTGCATCATTCCTTCTCTGTTTGTATCCTCATGGGACCAAGAGGCCCTGATTATGCAGTTTATATGCGAGTTTCCTGAGTTGCATAATGTTCTTTTTGCTGTTCTTGTTTTAACATGATGGATGGGGGGATAATCTATTTTATTTTCTGGTTTTAAATTCTGTAAGAAAATTAAGACAAGTGTAAAGATTTAAAGTCAGTGGGAGCTGTGTTGTTGATGAAGTAAGCTTAGCTTTTGTAAAAATGTTGAGAACAAATATTCTAAGTAAAATTTACTCCCCAAAAGTTTTTCTTTTTTTAAGATTTTAGTGAAAAAATTGTTATCATATAAAAATAGGTGAAATGTCACAGACTTTTACAGCACCAAGGACCTAACTAAGAAGATTAAATAATCCTATAATGCTGGAAGAAAACAAAGGGGGGTTTCTTATAGCTTAAAACCTAATTAGATTTTTATAAATCTTTTTCTACCGTCATACAGCTGTTGTACCTCTCTGGTATACAGATATATTGCATATCAAAGCTTTTCATCTGTTGTGTAGATGGCATCGCTCATTGGAAGAAGATGTGGAGGACTGCCTCACAACAGTTTTTCACGGTTATTGAGCTCAAACAGGCTTCCAAAAGGTACGTGAAGAGCACAATGTGCCATCTTATGCTTCACACAACAATAAATCCAACTGATGACTAGACCCAGTGACCAAAAATTTTCTTGGCCAGTGTAACCAGTGTGATTATTTCATCGTTTAATTTGTTCTGTCAGGTTAAGAAATTTATTTCCAAAAGAATAGTGAACTGGCAGCAGAACACTCATTGAAAGCATAGAAAAAGAGACCTCATTATCAAAGAGATTTTGAAATATGCTCTGAAATCCGCTTTTCTACAATTCATGTTTGGCTGTTAATATTTAGATACAAGAAAGAGGGATCAAATTTCACTTCGAAGCCAAAAACAGGAAGGAAATGATGGCAGAGGTGAAAAAGGAGGAGGTAAAAAGGAATCCCAGTGGTGGACACGTTTTAAGGTACAAATCCTTTTATCCATGTTTTACACAGCTTAACATATTTTTTGGTGAAAAAATAAATACCTTTTAAACTGCAGTATAACTTTATGAGAAAATATCCAGTAAAGCATATGATATTTTCCTCAAATAAATAGTCAAAATCTAGTTAATATCTTTGAGATAAGGATGCTATTTAATTGTGGAGTTTGTAAATCTGAAGAAAAAATAAAACACTGAAAGGCAGAGAGAGTTTCAGCTAGCATGCAGGTTCATGCATGCATTTTTTTAAACAGAAGGTTAAAATAAAGTATCTAGAAGCAACAAGCGATTTTATTTTGATTTTCGTTTGCATCATGCAAACGAAACCAATAATAATATTGGTTAAAAACATTTGCAACTTTGATTTTTTGCCCAAATCATTCAACCCTTTTATTTAGTATGCAAAGATAAATGAAACATACCATTACCATTGAAAACATACAAAGCCTTTATTTCTTGTTACCATACATATTTATATAAAAGGAAAGATGGAAAAGATATTTACTCATAGGAAAATTATCATTGAGGCTAAGAATGAGAAATTATTGATGTTTTTAGGTTTTAATAAACTGCACCTATACCTTTCGGGTTTCCTTAGGTTTCCTTTGTAACAATCCATATTAGCAGTGATAAGCTGACTTGTTTTCATTTCGACATTTCCCAATCCTCTAGAAAGATTTTCCCTTAGATGAAAGGACTGTGCAGAACATTGCACTAGGTGCAGCAGGTATGACCACAGCGTTTCTATACTTCCACTTCAGGGAGACCGGAGTCCAGATCTCCTGGATGGATTTTGTGCATCGGTTCTTGAGCAAAGGCTTGGTGAGATTAGTTTGTTTTCAGTTTCTTTCTCATTTAATCCTTTTTCGTTGTTAGTGTAAACAGATCATGTTGTCCACACAGGTTGGGCGCGTAGAGGTAGTCAATAAACAGTATGTCAAAGTGTTTCCTGCTGATGGAGTGAACTCCTCAGAAGTGGTCAGTAGGCAAAGATACGGCTGTGTCCTGCTTCTTCTCAGAGAAGGGCTGCATCTTAATTCTTTCCTTGTTTTTGTGTTTTAGAATTATTTGTGGTTCAACATTGGTAGTGTGGCTTCATTTGAACATAAGCTGGACATGGTTCAGGAGGAAATGGGTCTGGACTCCACACAAAAAATACCTGTACTCTACACCAGTGAAAGTGACGGGTTGGATTCATTTAAATACTAAAGCTGCATTTTGATTACATTTTCTTTATGTTCTAGTATCATCATACTTTTCTTCATCCACAGGTCAATAGTTTTAAGTGTCCTCCCAACTTTATTCCTGGTTGGCTTCTTACTTTTTGCAACCCGACAAGGGCCCATGGCAGGAGCACATGGCAGCAGTTTAAAAGGAAATCCATTTTGGATGAATGCATCAAAAGCCAAGATAGTTAAAGAAACTGGAACTGTTCACTTTAAGGATGTAGCAGGCTGTGAAGAGGCCAAACTAGAGATCTTGGAGTTAGTAAACTTTCTTAAGAACCCAGATCAGTACCATGACTTGGGAGCTAAGATCCCAAAGGTAGGTCTGGCTATATTTTCATGTTAAGTGCATCCAAGATTTTTTGCTTGCATAATAAGTTTGATACATTTCCATTTCACCTTATATCAGAGGTTTCTTATCTTTTCAGGGTGCACTGTTATCAGGAGCCCCTGGAACTGGAAAAACGTTGCTAGCAAAAGCCACTGCAGGGGAGGCCAATGTCCCCTTCATCACAGTCAATGGCTCCGAATTTCAAGAAGTTTTTGTAGGGATGGGCCCTGCAAGAGTGAGTCCTGCTTTATAAAGGAGTGGAATGTGCTTAAAAGTGTTGTCTCCCCAAAATACAAACAACTTATGATTTGTTTATTAGATAAGAGATGTGTTTGCCACGGCTCGCAAAATGGCCCCCTGCATAGTTTTTATCGATGAGATTGATGCAGTTGGCAGGAAGAGAGGCAGAGAGGGCTTTGGCTGGCAGAACGAGCAGGAAAACACTCTGAACCAACTGCTTGTGGAAATGGATGGTAAACATTTTTAACATGTTATTTGTTTCCTCATAATCCTGATATTGCATTTTAAAAGCCTTGCATATTGTTATTGCTACAGGATTCAACAGCAACACTAACATCGTGGTGTTAGGCGGCACAAATCGAGCTGATATCCTGGATCCGGCTCTTATGAGACCGGGGCGCTTTGATCGACATATTCATTTGGGTAAAGAACAGCAGAACAGACTCTTTTCTGAAGACTCTCATCTCTCCCTGTTGTTTTTTTTCCTGTCTTCCTGTATAATTTCCTGCTCTTATGTAAGTTTTTTTGGAAAAGTCCAATTTTAATTGTACTTTATACAACATTTTCCTGTTTACATATTTTTGTTTTCGGCCTAAATTGCCTGTGTTTTGTGATGAACTGTTGCTACAGTTCACCTGCTCTGAAATGTATTCAGATCTGAGCATACCTTTTTATTTATTTATTTTCTTTATTTTTATTTTTTTTTTTTACAAGAGATGAGATACTTAGGTTAGATTTCAAAGTTCATTCAATTTGCATCTTCTTTTCTCATCTGGTTCTCTCTAATAGCATTTAAACCCATACGGTGCTGTCTGTGTGCTTTTATGTTTCTGGGGATTGTGGGATGGTTGACATTTTTTGTTCAGAGAATATTTAATTTGCTTGATGCAATCTGTGCAGAGATCTGATCTATTTATGAAAAAAAATATATAAGAAAACAATGAAAGGGTTATTATATAACTGTTTTGAAAAAGTTTGTTTTTTAATATGTTGTCATATGATTTAAATCATCATTTCCTACGATACAACAATAGGAAGAAAAACCTAATTGTTATACAGAAGAAAAAAGAAATGCACTTTTTTAAGATGTATGAAAATCTGAAAAGTGTGTCAGGTTTTTTATATTCAGCCCCCAGACTTTCAGCTTTGTAGAACGACCCTTTGCTGCATTAAATGCTATAAATGTGTGTCTACTGGCTTCACACCCCTGGAAGCCAGTTATTCCAGAGTAGATCAAGCTTGATCAGACTGGATTTTGAGCCTCTTTCAATATTAATGTTCTTGCTCAAGAGTCTTTAGACCCACAAGTGCAGTAGATTGTGGGCCGGAGGCTACATTCTTGTATTCATTGTCAATACCTGCTTGTCAGTACACACAGAAACAAACAATTATGCACACACACATTTATAACTTTAGGGGAAATTAGGACCTTCTATTTTGAAAGCCGGACAATGGTGCAATTTGTCATTAGCTGGTGTGCTAGTTTCTGAAACTAATACCGTACATACCAAAAGCAAGGCGTTTCTCTCTAGTTTAACTTTGAAACCACGAGAAATATGTTTGAGTTTGCATCAGATTTAAAACGCCACCATCCTTTGTATCAAATCTATCTATATGTAACTTCTAAATCATGCATGTGCTGTAGCAATACTGGAGACGGATATTTGACTTTCCCAGAAAGGCATCTTTAGGAAGTGTTTCTGTTTTCATTGCAACTGGAAACTAATTAAATTCAGTTTACAATAACAAGCAGAAGGCGCCTTAAGAGAAAACTTTGTAGCAATGCTCCATGTCTCTCCCCTTTTGATTTTGATGTATTTCGGTGACTTCATTGCATCAGCACTTGATCAACAAAACATTTTGGATCTTTGATTTTTATTTTTATATAGATAATGACATTTCTGAAAAATATAGCCATGTCTACAAGGAAGGTTTTAGAAAGGAAAGACTCAGAGCACATTTGATATAATTTAATATTGGCCAAAGGCCTGAAACAGCTTCAATTAGTCTGTTGGATTAAATATCAAGAGAATTGTTTTGGTAGGGTATTTGGAGGGGCTCTTCCCCACAGCTAGTGTCCTTTTTTTTGTCAAAGATTCAGAATTGGATTTAGGTCAATACTTTGAGCGGCAGACTGAAGCATGAATGGGCTTAAACATGAACCATTCTAGCTCTGCTGGAATCTGAACCTCCATCTCCTCATCTTTAGATCACTTAATTTTATTTTATTTTTTTTGTGCTCTGCTCACTTCATCTTGCCATTTATCCCCAATGGCTTCTCTATTTCTGCAGATGTGTTTCCACAGCATGATGCTGCCACTACCGTATGTAAGAGGGGTGGAAGAGAGTTAAAATTTGCCCAGTGTCAGACTGTTTTTTTTTTTTTTTTGTAAAAATATTCAGTTAAACAAGTTGACTCTATTCACTAATTTGGTTACTGTTAAAGAGTTAGAGTAATTGGCACAAAAACAGTTCATGTTTTTATTTACAAACCCTTTTCCATCCTAATGATATTTTTTCATTCTATCAAATTAAATCCTAATAATATAAATTCTGCTGTTGTAATGTGACAAAATGTGAAAAAGGTTCAAGTTTAAAGTATAACATTTGCCTGGAAGGGTCTTATCTTTCTTTACCTATAACTTAACTAAAATAATGTTACATCTAAGTCATTTATGAAGCTACTTACCATGTTGAATTATGGTCACTTTTGCAATACAGTAATTCAAATTTATTTGTTTACATAAAAGGCTTCATTGTCAGTAGAGGAAAGCAGAGCAAATTGGCTTAATATTCCTTCAATAATGGATCACCAATGTCATACCATGCTTGTTTTTTTCCTTTTCTGCAGGCCTGCCAGATATTAAAGGCAGAGCATCCATTTTCAAAGTGCATCTGAGACCTTTGAAGTTGGGGCCTGGTTTAAATTTAGAAGATTTGTCTAGGAAGCTGGCTTTACAGACCACAGGTCTCAATGGTAAGAATAGAAAGCATCTGCTACTGATGCTATTATCTTAGCTTAAAAAATGGTAAACTGTTTTACTATCAAGCCTGTAATAAATTAGTTAATCCAAACATACAAACATTTTAAAGCATCAGATGACAGTTATATTACTAGGCCCTTTAACTAGTACTTGTGTGTATCAGGGGCTGAAATCGCCAATGTTTGTAATGAAGCTGCACTGAGAGCTGCTCGCCACCTCAGCCAGGACATCAGTGCTCAACACTTTGAACAGGCTGTTGAGAGAGTCATTGGAGGTACGTTAAACAAAAACAAAATGCAATTTTCAAATCGCAGAGGCACTGATTTTTAATCACATCATATTTAACAACAGTAGGACACTAATTAAAATTTTTTTTAGAAACTAAACTTTTCTCTCCAGCCCGTCAGGGCCACACAGTAGTGAGAATTGCAGCTAGCATGCAGATCCATGCATGCAAGTAGGAGTAAGCACTTACAATAAAGTCCTGTAAGAATGATCTCTGGGTATGCATGCAAAATTTCATAAACTGTAAGCCTGGTGTAAAACATCTATAAACTTGGAGTAAGTGCAGAAGAAAACAGAAATAAAATCGCAATTTTGGACACAGTTAATCGCAATTTCAATTTTTGGCAAAATCATTCATCCTAGTTTGGACATTTGAGTGCTCAATTTTATAATAAACTTATATAGCGGTCATGAGAAAAGATACAGAATACCTGACTGCTTGTTTTACTTGCTATATGTGGACAGAAAAAAATACAATATCAATTTCAATAAAATAAAAAAATGAATAAAAGAAATTTCAGAAAAACAGACAGAATAGAATTTCAAAATCAGAATTTCTAGTGAGAAATAAAAGACAAACCGCCCAGATTGAACAACGTGGTGATAATAAAATATATTTTTAAGAGTCAACTGAAACATTAATTTATCTAAAGCAAATGATTTTGTCAATTAGAATACACATTGTTGAAAATGCATTTTGTTTAACAAGAAGCAAAAATAAATCGTAAAAATTTTATATTTAAAGTACAATTCCTTTATTTTCTAATCAGTGATGGAAGAAAGATTGAATATAAATAGTGTGAACATTTTGTGAGTTGAGTATTTCATGCCTTTAATTTTTCAAAACTATTACTTTCTTGTATTTTTTATAAGAACTATCTCTGGGCTAATTAACTATTATCAACATCAAAATGATCAACATATAGTTGATAAACAACTAAATGTTATTCATTCTGAAAGCATGTTTCATATCAGAGACCAATTTTGATATGAATTCAAAAATGTAGAGTAAAACATTTTGATAAAAACTACGCATAGATTTGGTGTTTCATGCAAAAATCTGGGAAGATTTTGCTGTCAACTGATTGTGTAAACCAATATTTCTGATTTCAGGTTTGGAGAAAAACGCTCAGCCGATTCAGCTTCTAGAAAAGACAACTGTGGCGTATCACAAGGCAGGTCATGCCGTAGCAGGATGGTTCTTTGAGCATGCAGAACCACTGTTTAAGGTATCCCCTTCAATATGGTTCACCATTTCTCATGAAATAAGATCCTAGTTTCTATGTTTAATTAGGTAGATTTGTACTTCACATTATCATCAGGTATCCATTACCCCTCATGGGAGAGGTCTGGGTTATGCACAGTATCGAGGTAAAGAGGTGCACCTGCTGAGCCAGGATCAGCTGTTTGACAGGATGTGCATGATGTTAGGAGGTCGAGTGGCTGAGCAGGTCTTTTTCCGACAAACCACTACTGGAGCCCATGAGGACCTCAGGAAAGTCACACAGACAGCGTATGAGCAAGTAATTACCATTGTGTGTTTATCAGGATAATAACTCAAAAAACAACCAGGATCCCTGCCAAGTTACAAAATAATTTGTAATGTTCTTCTTGCATGTTGGATATTTACTCTAGCAATGATCATTTCTTGTTCAGGTTGTACAGTTTGGAATGAACAAGGCTGTTGGCCTGGTTTCATTTGACCTCCACCTTCAGCCAAATGCTTTCCAAGAGAAGCCCTACAGCGAATCTGCAGCGCAACTCATTGATCAGGAGGTCCGAACACTGGTTGATGTCGCCTTCAAGCGAACATTTCAGCTTGTTGTAGACAAAAAGGAGATGGTTGAAAAGGTGAATTGTTGGCTATTGTTGAGCTGTTGTTAGCTAATTGATTTTTTTTATTGTTATGAAATATTTTTTTTTGTTAATCTTAGGTGGCAAAGCGTCTTCTTGAAAAGGAGATGCTAAACATAGTTGACATGGTTGAGCTTCTAGGACCTCGACCCTTTCAGGAGAAGAGCTCGTATGAGGAGTTTGGTGAAGAGCTGCACTTTGAAGAGGAAAATTTACTACCTGAAGGACCAAAGGAGGGGCAGAGAAGTGAAGAGAACAATAAACAAAGCAAATCAGCTCTTTATCTGTAGATAGGGATGTGCAGATTGTTTTGTGCTTCATTCACAAATGAACAGTATCCTGCAAAAATATTTGTATCCATATTTCAACCTCAAGCTTTGCTTTTTAGATTACTCATGTAGTCCAGACAAAATATGAGCTAAATATGAGGTGGAAGAAGAGGGATCCACATGCATTTTGTACAAATCGTATGTAAAAATAGGTTGGTGATTATATGCATTCAGCAAAGTCCAAACTTTGTATAACTACCCATAGCACACCTAGAGACAGGTATATTTGCCCTGTATGTAGGATATCTCAAGCTCAGCCAAGAACACACATATAGATGGCTAAATTGAAATTGGTTTGACTTTGACCAGGCCATTCTCACACATGAATCTTCCTAGATCTAAACTTTTCCATTTTAATTCTAGTTCCTGGATCCTCCACCGAAACTTCCAGCCTTTGCATCCTCCAACAGTTTTCTTTCCAGGAATGCTCTGCGTTCAGCTTTTATTTTGGTTGATTTTTTGCTGGAAATTTGTCCTTGAAATACCAAATTTTAAAAGATTTCTTTCAATTATTTGTTCCATTATGTTTATAAAACTCCAGATGTACGTCTTCTGCATGTTTTAAATCAATAACTGTTTTAGATTATGTTTTTTTAATTCATGCATGGAGATTATTTCTTATTAACTAACTTAATGTTTCTCAGTGACATTAATCCAATATTAATATTTCTGTCAAGGTGCAGAATTGATATGTTAAAAAAAGTGTTTCAATTTGTTATTACATCAGTCAAAATTACACTTTTTTGTAATATTTCTAAATCTGATGACATGTACAAAGGGTAGGACAAACATACTGATTTGTTTTGTATGAGGCTACTGAGGCTAGCACACCTTTTTATGTCTCTGTGGAGCAATATTGATAATTGCAGGGTTAGTTTTTAATATTCCTAAAAAGTTAGAATGCATTATTGCAAATATCCTTATGATCTAAACAATTTTAATTCACCTTGTGAGTGAATCTGTTGCAGAAACCTTATAAACTTTAAATCGTCTGAGCATCATTACTGAGTTAATAAATGTAACTTCAACAAGTATAGCATACAGAATAAAAAACAGACAAGAAAACATACAAGGAGCCATACTTTATTGAATCTTCAACCATCCTAAAGCTTCACCTTATCCAGTGTGTCACGGCATTCTGAATTATTAACACTCCTTCTAAAAGGAGCCCATACATTTTACAAACTAAGCGTTATGTTACCCATTCACAGGCAGTAAAGAATTAACTGTATCATAAAAAAAAATGTTGGCACTTTCTAACCAGGTATTTGTTGTTTTGCTTCTTTTGGCATCCACACAAATCAGGCTGAAATTTGCCATGGATTTATTTTAATTTCAAGTAATCACTGTCACGGGCGTCTGCATACTGCAGCTGTAGCAGCCCAAAAATTTGTGTTTTGGCTGGTGGTGGTGGGGTGTCTTAAAAAAGGTAAAGAAAATGTGAGTATGGAAAGAATTATTGCATGTTACTGCTTGGTGTCTTTGTTGCTGCAACGAACAACAATCCTGCAGGGGGCGCCTAGGTGTACAATTTAGAGAGAGAAGTGCAACTGTTTTTCATTCAGGCATTTTGCATCACAGCACACATTTCACTAAAAGATAGAGATTCACCTCACACATCCTCTGTTAAGGCTACCATTGTTTACTTTAGATGCAGCAAAAAATGCATGATGAATTTATAAGAAACACAGTAAATCTCAGTCAGCATCAGTGGGATGTTTTCATTTTTCTTTCTGCTAATGTCTCAAGGTCTGCCATCACTGTGGCTTTAACCTTTATGGCCAATCTAATTATACTGGCCCACCCTGAGGTGTTGTAAGGAAAAAGGCGCCAATACACTGTTAACCCCATACCCTGTCTGTTTCATCTGGAAGACCAGTGTAGGAAAAAAACAATCCTTCTCCTATAAAAACATGATGGCTGCAAAGGTTTGCTCGTATTAGTGTGAGAAGAGAGTAGGAACAGTGAGAATATTGGACATCATCATTATCTTTAAAGTAGAGAGCAGAGTTTCCAGAGCTGAGCCTCGACAGATGAGCACTGTTAGACATCGGCTGAGCGTACAGTGGCAGTTTGAGACGTCTTGGTGGTTTGGTTTCACCACTGTGTCTTTCCAACAGGCTCTGGGCGGTCTCTCTCCTTCTTGTTCCATGTTGGGGTTTACGGGTGCTTTGTCCTCTCTAGCTTAATTAAGGGCTCTGCTGTGTCTGAGTCACTGTGATGCTTTCTCTCACGAGGAAGCTCCACTTTACTGCACCGCGTCCATGACGGGGAGCGCATGTAGCCACCCCTGGGCAGCACAGGCTGGTGGGAACCTGGGGACCAGAGACAACACTGGTTAAAACAGATGGATATTTTCTTTGTTTTTGCTGGTTCTTTAAGGATAAAAGCACAGAAATGACAATTCTCTGGTATAATTTATAGAAACTATACTGGAGAAAGTTTAAGTGTTACGTTTATCATTTTAATTACACTGGCAATTATATGAGGAGCTCAACACAGGATGAAACGGAATCTTTATAGCATACTTTACACTAAAACTTGCTCTTCCATACAAAATAACCTTCATGAAATAAATGCTTCTTGACATTTATTGTTATTTACTGACTATATATAGAGCATACTTGTGAGATGGAGGCACAATTATGGTATTAAACTTGCATTTATTATGTGTACTCAATTTAAAATCCAGTCAAACCACAAAACTCTGGAATACCTCTGAGGTTTATTTAGAGAAAATTACTAAGTTGATGTAAGTTAAGAAAATTACTGAAGTTTTATCATGTAAAAACTCACATATTAGGCTGCTGAAAGCCTGCTGTCTCTCCCATCTAAACAACCTCTGCTTAAAAAACACCTTTTCAAGTTGAAAGACTCCAAAATTATTTATATTCAGTCATTCACACTGATGGTGCAGCCATATTGTGTCAAATGCAATAACAAGTGCTTTTTACAGTTTGGTGGAGGGTTATCCAGCAGATTGTTTAAGTCCCCCCAAACCCCCACCCCCCCATTGAACTTTATGAAGCAAAGACAATAATATATGAAATCTGGTAAAGAGAAACAGAAACAGATTTGTAACTGGAAGGTGAGTCTACACTTTAATAACTCCAGGAGACTACAGGTTCAAAAAAAAACATTTTTTTTAATCCTGTTTCATTTTTCTTCACATTTTTGCATCTAGGACAAAACAATAAAATTAAGACAAAAACATTAACAAAGCAAGGGCACGTCATATCTGACTTTTTCTTCAGATAAAGTCAAAGAAAATAATTTCATTCATTAAGCAATTAAAAAGTTGTAAATGCACAACCTGAAAGACACCAAGACTGGTCAGACATGGAGCTGAGTTTAAGGTTTTACTATCATTTTAAGCCACTTGGTGGTGATATCAACCCTTGGTAGATGACATCAAATCATCTACAAATGAGTAAAAGGGAGCTCATTCTCACAGCACATATTAGATTAATGCTTGGCTTTTTCTTTCCTGCTGCTCTGGTTTTATATCTCCTCAGAAACGCATAGTTTCCATCCATGAATTAAAGCCTGAGAGGCGATGAAAAAGGAGCAGAGCTGCTGGATTAAGACAAATATTGATCTCAGATGATTGATTGCCTCCCTGTTGGACTTTAATGAGATGTCAACCTCTTCTGAAGTAGGAAGGACTCCGCAGTCGCGTGTGCCATGGAAGTAACCTCCCTGGTGTATTAATGTTACTAAATAAATATCTGCAGTTTGTGTAACGTGAATGTTGCCTGTGTAATGCTCACATGATAATTTTGCATGCTTTTCATTCCCTGTTTGAGTCTCTTTTAGCACTGGGGTTGCAGGAAAGATGGAAAGACAATTGGAAAATATTTCTGCATTACAATGGTAAAGATGATTTCCTTTTTGCCCCTTGTTCTATTGCCAGGCACCAAGCTGTCTATGTCGCAACAGTGCTATAAATATATTCTTCTCTGCTTCTGTTAGTCAATTTGAATCACTTTGTGTTCCAGTTTTCCAACACTTTGTAAGGTACAGCTTGAAAGTTAGGATTTCTATGATTGTGGTTCAGCATATTATGTTGCAGAACAGTAAACTATACATCACAATAAGCTGTAACATTAATTCAGTGTTTGTAAAAATTTACATGTGTGCATGTGTTTGTTTTTCCTGAGTTAAAGATCGAACAAAATAAACTAAAATAATATTTCTTTTCTGTCTGCATATGTGTTCTTGCACAGCCCAAATAAATCTAAAAACTAGGGCAACTAAGACAAGCATTTAATGATCTGTGAGGTCATTAAAGGCTTAGAACAGTGCTAAAAGCAGTCAGTTTGAACTGGAATCTGACCTTTTCTACAATCGGTGGTGCTTTTATAAACAGACTCGTGCTCCCAAAGGAGGAGCAAAGCCGAAAGGCTGAAGAGAGAAAGTAGCTCTTAACTATAGATTTGAAGGATACAATTTTTGTCTGCATTTTAAATGGTAGTATCAATACACCTTTTTTATCAATGATGATTTAGCTGTTTGGAAAAAATATAGAAAGAATACAGTTCATAATTAAAGGAAGAGACCATTTTCAATGGATTATAGCTTCTCTTCATTGGCTCCCATTAAATCCATCATACATCTGTAATAGTTCCCAACAGAGTCCTTCCCTCCCTGCAGGCGTACTAATGGCTATTAGATTTTAAAAGTAGAACAGCAGGCCGGTCTTCTAGTCATTATGCTTCTTCTTTTAAATTTTATCTCAAAATAGTGTTAATGTCTCAGTGGTCCTCTGTTCAGCTGTTTTCCTCACAGATCAAGCTACTAAAAGATGATACTGTCTTTGTAACCACAGTGTACTCTATTACTTTCTCCAATAAAAAAACTTGTTAACTGTGCTTTTTTTTCTTTATGTCCTCTGAAACTCAATTAATTGAAGCAGATAGATTTGTTGATTCTATTCAATGTTCGTTTCTGCTAATAGTGGGTTGTTTTTCTCCCATGTCACGCGTTCCTGCCCCGTATAAATGAATGCTGCAAAGTCACAGATCTGGTGTAACTGTCTGTTTCCCTAGACAGATCATTTTTCTAACCAGTTTACAAAATGTGCAGTTGGAAAATTAAATAAAAAACTTAATGAGGATGCAGCTGCACTTTCGTTGAATCCAAATGTGAATATCTTATTGAATTGTACTCCTATTATTAGATCAATTTGGACTAAATTGGATTCTGTGAAACTGCATAACTGTAAATTACAAGCCCCAGCTAACCAAAGGTCCGAGTGTGGTCTGAGGGTGCCTTGGAGAAACTCCCAAACTGTTTTGAATGCTCTGTCTGGAATATCTTCAAGGCTGCAGCAACCTATGACAACAAAATAAATATAGATGTTTATGCCATGACTGTGTCAGCCTACATCAACAAATGCATTGAGGATGTCAGCGTCACAAAGAACGTCACCATCCGAGCAACTAACGACCCTGGATAAATGGAGAGGTTCGGAAAACACTAAAAGCATGGAACTCATCCTTCAAGTTTGGTGATAAAGAGGCACTGAGAACAGCGCGTGCCAATTTAAACCGTGCCATCAGATCAGCAAAGCAGAACCAAAGCCAGAAAATCCAAAATCTTTTCCACGTCGCCAGAACCACCAGCAGGATATGGCAAGGCATATACCTCGCTGGACAGATCCATAGTGCCTGAATGCTTCAAGTCTGCCACCGTCATTCCGGTTCCAAAGAAGCCTCAGGTCATTCCGTAAAAATTCAAAAAATATCCACTGGACTTGGTTTTCAAGATTTGAAGACGTTTCGCCACCTCTCCAGGTGGTGAAACGTCTTCAAATCTTGAAAACCAAGTCCAGTGGATATTTTTTGAATTTTTACGGAATGACTATGACCTGGATGACTGAGAACCTTCATCAGCATACAAGCCTCAGGTCAACTCACTCAATGATTACCAGCCTGTCGCACTGACTCCCATCATGATCAAGTCCTTCGAAAGCCTGGTTAAAAAAACACATAATCTCCAGTCTCCCCCCAACATGCAACCCATTCCAGTTCTCCTACTGACGGAACCACTCCACTGAGGATGCCATGTCCTCTTCTCTTCACCTCAGCCTGGCACACCTGGAGGAGAACAACCGCCCACATGCGGATGCTGTTCCTGGACTTCAGTTCAGCTGTAATTGGCTGTTAGACTTCCTCACTAACAGACCTCAATCAGTCCAGCTCAGACAGAACACCTCTAATGTCATCAGTCTAAGCACAGACTCCCCTCAGGGCTGCATCCTGACCTCCCTGCTGTTAGCTCTAATGACACATGACTGCATCCCCAAGTTCACCACCAATCGCATCGTGAAGTTTGCAGACACCACGATGGTGGGCCTCATGAGAGACGACAACAACCTGGACAACAGAGAGGAGGTGGAGCAGCTGGTTTACTGGTGCAAAGATAACAGCCTGATCCGGAATTTGGAGAAAACGAAGATCATCGTTGACTTCAGTAAAAATTTGCCTAACCACGCTCCACTGCTCATCAACAGCTCAGCTGTAGAGATGGTCAGCAGCACCAAATTCCTGGGGGTGCACATCACAGACACCCCCACCTGGACACCACCTCACTGGTCAAAAAGGCACAAAAGTGATTTGGTTTTTAAAAATGGCGCAACCCGGCACCGAATCGAGAAGGACGACCATGCAGAAAGGCATACCAAGGACCAATCACAGCTGCTTTTTGTCTGCGCACTTCCGCTTGAGGTCTGCGCTGGTTTGCGACCATCCAATGTGTAGTCAGGGTTTTTTTGAGGTGTGTGACGACGGTTGCAGAGCCTCTGCGCGGGGGGCGTGGCCAGGCACAGAGACGGATTTGAGGGTTGCAGAGGCTATGCGTCAGAAGAATAAATTAGCCTTAAGATTGGAAGAAGGTGAAGAGTGTAGTGAGAACAGCAGAGAAGATTATCAGGGCTCCTCTTGCCTCCATAAAACACATTTCATCCCAGCGCTGCGTGTCCCAAGCCTGTAACGTTATAAATGACCCCTCACACCCCCAACATGCACTGTTCTCCCTGCTGCCCTCTGGGAAGAGACTACGAAGCATCCGATGAAGGTCCAGCAGATTCCAAACCAGTTTCTTCCAATGCCATTAGACTGATGAATGTTAAATAAAACGGGGGGAAAAAGCTGAATGTAGGAAAAATTGTAAATCATATCTAAGTGTAATGTTTACATTTGATCACTGCACTTTGAGAAATAGAAAATGTCTTGAGAGCTGTACAAAAAGAAATTTTGTTTTGTAACCAATCTGTGTATACAAAATGACAATGAAGTTTGTCCAAGTCTAAGTGTAAGTAAATCGCACCTAATCAAAACAGCTTTTAGATAACAAATAATTCAATTAAAAAAAAAAGCTTAGATACTTCTCAGTGGAAACACAATGACAGGGCCAGGAACCTGCTGCTGAATGGTTTTTCTAAATGCAGCCACACTTTCTCATTAAATAGTCTGAAAATGGATTACTCAATTGATTTTTACTGAGTCATTTGATCACTGCAAATATAACACATGTATTGACTAAAAAGCAATTATCCACTCTAAAAAAGCTCTTATTTAAATGATGTTTTTTAATCAGCAAAAGCTGAACAGTTGCAAATTGACTGCTATGTCATCAGTT